AATCTTACTGCATATCTCTACACACAAAGATATGTCTCTCTCTATGGATCTGTATGTCTCATTTGGAGAGAAGGATGGTCTGACAACAGCTGGGCATGAGCCACAGTGCACCCAGGTGTGCCAGAAGGTCAGTGGCTCCTGGCCTGGCTCAGCCATGGTGTGGCCACAGGCTCAGGGCAGGGATTGTCCCTCTATGCTGGCACTGGAGAGGCCCCAGGAGTGCTGGAACCAGTTCTAGGCCCTCTCTGCAGGAGAGACATGGAGGGGCTGGAGGTGTCCAGGGCAGGGAACGGAGCTGGGGAAGGGTGTGCAGAATCAGTGATGGGAGCAGTGGCTGAGGGAGCTGTGTGGGCTCAGCCTGGGGAACAGGAGGCTCAGGGGGAACTCATTGCTCTCTCCATCTCCTGCCAGGAGGTGCAGTGAGGTGTGGGTTGGTCTCTTCTCCCGGCAGTAAGTGACAGGAGGCAGTAAGTGACAGGACGTTGGCCGTCTTGGCCCCCTGTGTCAGAGCAGCGGGGTTAGGTGTGACCAGGAAGGTGAATACCAGGAACACTTGTGTAAATATGAGGATTTCAGTCAGTTCCTGCAGATGAAGTGCCCCTGATGTCCTGCACAAGCAGAAACTGAGAGTGCAGTGTCCCTGGGTGGGAGACAGGAGCTGCTCCAGTCCGTGGTGACGTGGTCTGAACAGCTACTGAGGTGCTGATCAGCCTTGCTAGATGCTGAATAATTCCTCCTATTAAATCCCTGTGTTGAAAATCTGCTTCCCAAATCTGCAGCCGCCAACCAGTGCCTTTGTGTAAGTACTGCTCCCTGGCAGGGCTGGGGGACAGGCTGACCCACTCTGCAGTCCTTCAGAGGACAGAGCCCTCTGCACTGCCCTGGTGTCACCCTCTGCATCCTCCTTCTGCCCCACCAGGCCTTTAATCTTCTGCTCTGCCCTTGGAGGAGGGGAGAGGGGATGGATGTGCAGATCCTGAACTCTCTCCACAGAACACTTAAGCTGACTCGGGGCTTCTTCTTCCTTCCTCCCCTTCCTCAGCATAGCTGATACTTTGGGGCAGAGATGGAGGAAGTGAAGTGAGAGAACTCAAGCAGATCTGAGTATTTTTGTTTGCCCCCATTTTCATGTATCAGCTCTAAAGTTGAGACAAGGATGTGGTTTTTCATAGCTTACAGAATCATTTGGGTGGGAAAAGCCCACCAAGTCCAACCTGGGACCCATCACCACCTTCTCAGCTAGCCCAGAGCTCTTAGTGTCACGTCCTGAGCTCCTTGGACACCTCCAGGGGTGGTGACTCCACCACCTCCCTGGGCAGCACATCCCAGTGCCTGACAGCCCTTTCCACAGGGAAATTCCTCCTGATGGCCAACCTGAACCTTCCCCTGGCACAGCTTGAGGTGTTTCCTCTGGTCCTGTCCTTTGTTCCCTGGGAGCAGAGCCTGACCCCACCTGGCTGCACCTCCTGGCAGGTAGTGATCTGTAAGGTCCCTCCCAACCCAGACCTTTGTGATTCCATGACACAGGAGTGACCAGGCAGCAGTTTGATTCTTGCAACAGGTGTTGAAAAGCCTCTGCAGTGGTGAGTTAATTGTTAATCTCATTTGGCTGCTTGGCAAAAAATGCAATTAATGGTAGAACTTGGCATTTGTGAAGGTTTTTGCAGTTTGAAATTGCTCCTGTAAAGAGCAGGAAGTCTGGAAAGGTTAACAAACTGGTGAGTGTTAACCACCTGAGCTCCAAAGAGCAGGGTTCAAACTTCCTGAGTGTCTCAAACTGCTTTTGCTTCCCAGTATGGATCTAAAATCACCTAAATGCCTTTGCTCAAACTCTCCAAGTGCTTTGACTGACCCTAGTCTAAAGGATTTTCTGTGGAACACTGCAAACTCCAAGCCCTGCTGTGAGCCAGGGATACTCTCACATGACATCCTGCTTGGGGGACTTGGTGTCATTTGGAATTCTGATGGATGTTGGAGTGTTATCTTGCTTGGGTTTGGTCCTTTCCTTGCTGGAGGAGGAGTAGGAAGCTAACTGATAAGTGGCCTCAGGATTGACCTCTTGGTCTGTATCCCCAGATGATCCCATGAGGGATTGTTTAGGGATAGAAATGCTGAGTTGCATTTCAAGGTAGACAAGAATATGAGGTTTTCTGTGTGCAGCTTGTCTGTGTAAGGACACTGAAATAGCTCAGCTGCTCTTCAGTGGTGCCTCCTGTGGCTCTGGGGCAGCTCTGAGTGTCATGAGCATGTCTTCAGCAAAGCTATGAGCTGTGGTTTAAACTCCACGTGTAAAACACTGTGGGAGGGCCTTCCCT